GAGTAATGGTTTGATCCAAGGAAAGCAAATTCCAGTTCCATGAATCATGAGCCCTTCACATGGCAAATGGACTAGGGTGATTATTATTATAATCAAGGGGAAGCGCTAAACCCGGAGGATTATACAGCGCCTGGGGGGATGTGGAAGGCATTCAGGCTTAATTCGGGGAGCTGGAGCACAGATCCAATTCCCTAAATCAAGAGCCCCTCACCAACATCAAGGAACCTTCCTTGAGGGGAGGACAAGGGTGAGCAAAAATAACTTAAAGCCTGAAGTTCTCTCCTTCCATTTTTTCCTTGCTTATACTATATTCACAAAGCAGTTTGGAAGTCAAACTTGAAACAGTATTACAGTGATACCTTGCACATTCAGCCTGCCATTATCCAAACCTCTCCAGTATCCAAACAGGCCCTGGGAAAGGGCAAAATTCTATTACTGAAATATCAGAACAGCTGTTCAGATGTAAAGTAAGAGGACACAAGTGCAACTAATGTGACATTTTATTGTGGCAACGTTTCGCTCTCCAGGAGCTTTGACAAGCCGTTACCGTAACAGCTTGACAAATTATTATTATAATCAAGGGGAAGCGCTAAACCCGGAGGATTATACAGCGCCTGGGGGGGGGGATGAGGAAGGCATTCAGGCTTAATTCGGGGAACTGGAGCACAGATCCAATTCCCTAAATCAAGAGCCCCTCACCAACATCAAGGAACCTTCCTCGAGGGGCCAACAGCTTGACAAAGCTCCTGAAGATTGAAACGTTGCCACAATAAAATGTCACATTAGTTGCACTTGTGTCCTTTTACTTTACATATTGTCGGTAATTCTACCAACTTTATTACAATTATTATTATTATAATCAAGGGGGAAGCGCTAAACCCGTAGGATTATACAGCGCCCAGGGGAGGGGGGATGTGGAAGGCATTCAGGCTTAATTTGGGGAACTGGAGCACAGATCCAATTCCCTAAATCAAGAGCCCCTCACCAACATCAAGGAACCTTCCATGAGGGGACCTTTATTACAAGCTATTCAGATATGGCAGAAGGCTGAATCAAACTTGGTGCACACTTTAGTGTATCGGTTGGCTACTAGGAGCAACATTCTTCGCCACCCACTGTTGTCCCGCTATTCTCTTAACCCTTTCAGGGTCGACAGGCCCTCTCCGAGACTTGTTCTCAGGGTCAGCCAAATTTCAAAAAAAAAAAAAAATTATTATTTTTTCTTATGAAAAGATAGAGAATTTTTTCCCGATCATAATGACACCAAAAGTATGAAATTTGATGGAAAACTTACGGAATCATGCTCTCGCGAAGTTAGCGGTCTCAACGATGTTTACGCATCGGCGATTTTGCCCACTGAGCCCTATTTTCGGCCAATTCCAGTGTACTAGTCAACAAAAATCATAACTATTTCACTTGAACTCCATCTTTTCTATCAAACGAGTACAAGAAACCACCCATTTACCGATTTCAGCTATCCAATAGTGGTCAGAATTGAGCAATTTTGCCAATTTCACACAAATTTAAAAAGATGCCAATTTCTGAAGAGTCCAGAATAAACAAGAAAGACATTCCTGGCACTAAAATAACATTTCCTCTGTTCATTAGTCACGTCCCCATGCCCCTCTTACATTCCACTTTCAATTTTTATTCTCACAAAAAAATAGATTTACTGTTATGCAGACTACTGCGTTAGTGTAGAAATGGTATACAGGTGTCCCTCAACATTCGCGAGGGTTAGGGGATCAAGAAAACTGTGAATGTTTGGTGCCCCAATATATTGTAGGGAAATATAATACAATACTGCTTAACTTGTTGAACCATGAACAATCATAAAATACATGGAAATGTCGTAAATTGTACCAAATATATACATGTTATGCTTTAATGACATGTATGTTATTAAATACCACAGACTCCACCACAGACTCCACCACTGCCTCCACCACTGCGAGTCCCTACTACCCTCCCTCCGACCCCCGCAACTGGCAGCCAGCCCTCCCACCACTCAGTGGTGAGTGTTTTGTTTGTTCATTATTTGCTATTAAACTACAGTATAAATAATGTAAACACATTCATGACTGCATATTGGAATGGCTATTTGAACAGGTATTGGACGGTGACATCATGTGTTTACTCTTGAACACAGCAAAGAATCAAACATTTCTGCTACTAATAATAACAATAGTAATAATAATAATAATAATAATAATAACAACAATAATAATAATAATAATAATAATAATAATAATAATAATAATAATAATAAGATATAATTGAAGGAGGAAATTGTACAAAAATACAAGGGAGTGGTTGACACATCTTCAGTGTGGCTTTGTTTATGCTGGAGTGAACATTAATCTCCCTGCTCTTCCAAACATTTCACAATAATTCAGCGGTTGAGGCAGTGGTATTTACTAACATATACGTATGTTATAAATAATAATAGTACATGTTAATATTAATAACATTTATAATAATAATATGTTATTCATACTGTACTATTATTATTTATAACATATATGTTAGTAAATATCACTGCCTCTACCACTGCCTCTACCACTCCAGTTGCACTCAATCTACAAGCACCAAACAATGAATTATTGTGAAATGTTTGGAAGAGCAGGGAGACTAATGTTCACTCCAGCATAAACAAAGCCACACTGACGATGTGTCAACCACTCCCTCGTATTTTTGTACAATTTCCTTCAATTATATCGTATTATTATTATTATTACTATTATTATTAGCAGCAGTAGCAGAAATGTTTGATTCTTTGCTGTGTTCAAGAGTAAACACATGATGTCACCGTCTAATACCTGTCCAAATAGCCATTCCAATATGCAGTCATGAATGTGTTTACATTATTTATACTGTAGTTTAATAGCAAATAATGAACAAACAAAACACTCACCACACTGAGTGGTGGGAGGGATGGCTGCCAGTTGCGGGGGTCGGAGGGAGGGTAGTAGGGACTCCCAGGTGGCGGGAAACTTGAATATGATTTGGCGGTTGGGAATTCGCGAATGTGTGAAGCCCGCGAAAGCTGAAAACGTGAATGTTGAGGGAGACCTGTATTATTATAATAAAAAAGAAACGCTAAGCCACAAGGGCTAGAAATGGTATAACATCAGCGCACTTGTGAAAGAATATTAGACTCGCCAGTTGACGTGTATTGGACGCTTGGCATGATTTGTTTACTTTTGATCTTTGGTAAAAATTTAACATTTCTGCTACTTTGAGCTCAATTTCAAGGTACTTTTCATTGTAAAACAAGTCAAAATCATCTCAGTTTCTGTAACGTCTTCCATTCTATAAAATGAGACCAGGAAAACTAGAATCCAACAATAAATACCATACGAAAATACAGTGCAAAGTCGGTTTTAAACCAAAAACACTTTTTTTCTCATTACACACTGTGCTGCAGGATTTTTTCATACTGCACACACTGACCACAGACCCATTCTTTTATATGTAGGCCTACCAGCTTTCTCTCACTAGATTTGAGGGCACTACAATTTAGGCGTACTAGTACATAAACCCTGGTGCCTAAGCCGTACCAGTAAGGCCGAAACCCTGAAAGGGTTAACCGAATAGGTGCACATAATGGCGGTGCAGTCTGGAAGCGAGTTTGTGGCCTTTGTGGGGGCTCCACTCCTTTTAACATTATTACTGCTGTGTTTTGTCCTAGCTATCTTGTGTATGGCACCAAAGAGGGCCAGGAATGGGTTTACTCTAGGAAAAAAAAAAAAAAAGGAAATACTGTTGCATGTGGATGCAGTGACGACGACCCTGGTGTGCAATCTGACGGATGCAGATTGCAGAATCAGGGTTGCACCCGGAACATTCTGAAAGTGATGACAACGCAATGCCTCCAAGACCAAAAACTTCAGCAGCCAGGGCAGGTGTCAAAACACTTTTGGAGTATTTGGAGCATTATCATCAAAAAGAAGCGCTAAGCCACAAGGGCTATACAGCGCTGCAGGGTAGGGGAAGCGAGGGTATTGGGTGGCAGAAGGGAGGAGGGATGATCAGTAGGTTACAGAAAACAGCAGGGCAGGGGTTAGTATTTGGAGCAACCACTGTCCACAGCCCATTTGAAAAGTTATGGTCCTGTGGTCCGTGAAATCCGGGAGGCTGTTACTCGAGCCCAGCATTTGGTCCCACCGCCAGACAGACTTGTTTTTTAAAACATTCCGTCGTCATATCGCTATCTGTTGTCTGGTATCACCATAGTGATATGACAGTACGGATGGCGACACGACAGTACGGATGTGCATCTTTTCATGTACATGTATCCAGAAACTGCTTCCGAACCGGTCTTGGCTCGTATAGCTCTGATATGAGGTTCTAACTTTCTCTTTTACATATTAATTATGAGCATATTACCTAAAGTTCCTAAACCATACTTCATTTTTTTACACCATTCTTTAATGTTCAGTAGCTTGACGTTTCTATTGATACTTACGGTGGGAACGGTCAAGTCATAAATTTGGGTGGACTGAGTTGTGGAGGTGGGAAAGTAGTGCCTGCACTCTAAAGGAGGGGTGATGTTTGCATTTTTTTTTTTTTTTTTAAACAGGAGTGATGGGGCGAGTGATAAGCGTTTCTTCTTTTTTGGGTTGCCCTCCCTTGGTGGAAAACAGCTTATGTGCTAGGAAAAAATCTCTGCTGAAATACAAGAACTATCACTTATTTCAGCAAATATTTGGATATTCAGTAAATCTATTATTTAAATGCTGTTTTACAAATAGTGCACATAGCTATACCATTTTAAAGACTAACATCTACAAAGTATTTTCTACAGCAACTAACAAGATTCAAACATGCAATTTAGATTTTTACCTCTATACTTTCATTATCTATCAAATATTTTCTATTCATCAAGTTCTTCTTGGAACAAACAATTTATACTTTGGGCAATAAAGTACATAGGTCAGACAAGTTTCTCAAGTTTCAGTGGTGGCTGTGGAACACTAAATGAAAATAAAACACTAAAATTGTTTTTCACTTTTTATTTTCCTATGTTTTGTGAACCATTATTTGGTTATATGATCTAGTGATTTTCATTGTAAGTTACAAATTGTGGCCAAGTTCTCTTATCTTTGTCACAGTTCACAACTGATGTGGTTTAAGAGCTAAATGGCCAAGATGTAAAGCAAGAGTTAACCAATCTATGATAACCTTTATTGCAAATTATAATAGTGGAATTTATGACCTCTGTAAAATAGTTAAGTGCAGAGATAAACGAGCCATTTCCAGCCCACTTTGAAGGACCGAGATGAATGCTGATAGTGAAGCATCAGTAAATGTATAACTTTACAAGTATAGGATAGTTCATAGAAGAAATAATTACAAAAAATTAACAATGATATATCTAGAAAAATGTCAAGTAAATTAACAGCTGACGTAGTTCCAGTAGAACACTTGCCAATTCTCAGCTTTGGGTCTTGGCATCCTAAGGTTTTGCCATAAATAAAACTTTACACAAAACAAAGCTGAGAACTGCCACTGATCACAAATGATAGTTCCAGCAAATCATACATAATAAAAAATATATTCCAGAGGAGAATGTATGCTGAAAAGATTGAATTTCCACCACAATGCTCGTATTCCAGAGCATCTGGGAACAAGGATCCGGCAGACTGCATGCAGTGGTAGGTCGACTGGCATCCTTGTCATTTGCACTGTCATCAAGAATTCAAGGACATTTATGATGCTTAAAGACTTTTACATCAAGATATTCCCAATGGTAATAGCCTGAAAAGTTCTGCCATGATATTAAAGTCAAAATGTGTGTAATGAACATTTTTATGTGATGTGAAGCAAGCATTCATGAAATGCCCGTGCATTCTAAACTGAAAATCCCACGACACTTGCACCTGCCAGAGTATGATAATCCATGGGGTTGGGCTCTTGACATACCACTGGCAATGGTCTTCGGTTTTCTGGATGATTCACATGACAGTAATAGTCATCGCGGATGCTCATGCTCCTGCTACTACGGCAACTGGACATTTGTACATGAATCTATGGAGCAGCCGCTAACTATTCCGAGGCTGCGTTCACTCTAGTTTTCTTTGGGCCCTACATTTTATACAAGAACAATGGTATGTTTATACGCGATTAAATACCATAGCTATTTACACACTTGAAATATATATTAATGCAAGTCAAGCACTCTTCTTTCTCCACATTATGAACAAAATTTATCAATGATTTATAATCACATCCACAGGATAAGAAATTTAGGCTCTTAATTCTGACAAACATATCAGGCTTACACAATCAGTATAGATAAAACCTACCTAGATTTTCAAAGTTTCACTATGACCCTCTAGGAAAAATAAATAAAAAATAGTTCTCCAAGCCACTAGGGCTATTGTACCAATTTAAATACAATGACACTGCATTATAGCAACTGAACTCTAAATTGCTATTTTCTTAATTTTGCCCTTGGAGGCAAAGGATTGCACCCCTCACTAATCCAGGGACATCCTATCCCGTTCTTACAGTAAATGAATGTTATTAAAAATCTGTCTATATCTTAAATGGAAATAATATTCTTCTTAAAGAATATAACTGACAGGATGAGCGAGGGCTGACCACATACAAAATTGCCAGCCCTAAAGTCTGATAGGAACACTAGGCCTCCTATTTCTTTTTGTTTTTCTGATTGGCAGCTCCTCTTGGTGGCGTAACGGGTCTTCCTGTATTCAATCCTCCATAGGGAAACTTCTTTTTGTCAGCAGGCTGTTAAAAAGCAAAGACTTAGATAAAAGTTAACAAACACACACACAAACATATTATACCCTTTTATAAAGTGCTGTCTCGTACACGTCTGTGTATACATGACTGAAAAACTAAAGTTTCATGGTGAATTAAACTGATTACATAAAAAAAAAAAATTTCATGATTTTCACACTGCACACCATTCTTGCTAAGTGAGAATAAATCACATCCACTAGACCACATTTTTCTCAACTAACTTTTTTTCAATATTTGTATAAATTATGAATTCTTAATTATGTAAAACACCTGTATAAAAACAAAGAATATTCAGTGCATTAATATCAGGAATCCACAAAAGCTCGTGATGACTATGATTATCTGGATTACAACAAAAGGTTGAAAATCTATGGAACCAAATAACCTATCAAATTTACTTAAAAAAAAAAAAAAAAAAAAAAAAAAAAAAAAAAAAAAAAAAAAAAAAAAAAAAAAAAAAAAAAAAAAAAAAAAAAAAAAAAAAAAAATCCATTATTCTGTATAAGATTAATTCAATGCATAATACATCTAAGATTTTCAGCAAATCAATCAAATTACCATGCCACAGAGATGAAACACAGTTACCTACCTTAAGTATCTGGAAAGAACACATGAGTGTCTCATCTACCGACATCATTGCTCCAGCATTATCAAACTCTCCACAATAGTTTGGGGCCGAGAAAAGTGTAACTAACTGTCGTTTCGCGAAGAACTCATAGCCATCTTCGACAACCTACAAAATTAAAAAATTTTCAACTCGACGGACAATATTTAAACCAATTTAAAAAACCAGTTCAAAATTTTCTAATTATTTTTCAAATACTGAAAAATGAAAACATTACAAGCTTTAAAGTTTAAAAACTAATAGAGACTCTTATTGGAAAATACTTCATACACACCTGATGAGCACGACAAATTAGGTCAAAGTCATGTTTGTGAAGGAATTTGGCGACAACTTCTGCTCCGAACGTGAAGGAGACCCCTCGATCATTTTCACCCCATCCCATAGTATCCTGCAAAGCAAAAAGAGAAGACTAATATCTACACTGTATACCTTATACTTTACAAACATGAAAAACCTAAATACAAAGAATTAATCAGGAAAATACTAGGCTCAAAATTTGTGCTCAAATAATGTGTGAGTGTGGTGAAAGTGTTGAATGATGATGAAAGTATTTTCTTTTTGGGGATTTTCTTTCTTTTTTGGGTCACCCTGCCTCGGTGGGAGACGGCCGACTTGTTGAAAAAAAAAAACAAAAAACAAAAAAAAAAAAAAAAACAATCAAATCAAATTATTTTTGATACATACAAGCATGGTATAAAATTAATTACAATAAGATTAATAACAGAACGAGACACTAGCATAACAGGGGCTGGAAAGTCATAGAAAACAAATATATAAAAGGAACACTGTAAAGGACCTACTGGGTAACTATTTAGAAAAAATAATGAAAAGTGGTTTCAGGAAAAATTATCTTTATAGCACCTGTATTTCCTAGGCAGTCACAATATTGTTGTATAATAAGATCTCCATTTACAGCAGGCAAAATTGTGGAGTTGAGAACACCCTCCCTCCAAATATAATGAGAAATATCAAACTAATCCCATTGTCAAGACTAAATTCAATAATTCTAACTTATTTCTTATCAGCTGGGATGATATATCAGAATGTAGAAAACTACAACAGCCTAGCTGTCCAGGATGCCTGGTCAGTGATCAGACCAGAGACAATAATCACCAAGCCAACTAGTGACTAGGTATGCAGGCATACAACTATTGCCAACATCAAGCAAATACCATAAGCATTTTAATTTTAAATAAATACAGTAGGTCCCTAACTAATGATGTTTTGCTTTTACAATACTAGCAATATGGAATCAATGACTTAGTATTACAAACACTGAGTAGCTGTTCTGAGACAAGGAAATTATTGATGGTTGGGAAAGATGGAAAGGGGGGAGGGGGGAGAGGGGAGTGAAAACTGCTGCTGCTACAGCACCAGTTAGTACATATTGCCACAACACAGAGGTCATTCACGCTCTCTTGGTAGCAGTTTTATCGACATTTACCGAAGTGATATCAAAATGTGTCACGGAAAGGAAATCCACGAACTTTGTCATGAAGATCTGGACATTAACACTGTAGCACAAATGAACAGAACCATACTTACTAGTAGATAAAAGTAAAGAACTTTTGTTGCATGCAAAGATTTAGAAAAGGCATATATATTAAGGTGGATATGGAAACAAATGCTTAGAACAGGAAGATTATTAAAAGCAGTATTGAGTTTTTATGCAGACAGCAAGGCTCAGATTAGTGTGTGTGTGTGTGTGTGTGTGTGTGTGTGTGTGGTGTGTGTGTGTGTGTGTGTGTGTGTGTGTGTGTGTGTGTGTGGTGTGTGTGTGTGTATATTTGTGTGTGTGTGTGTGTGTGTGTGTGGTGTGTTTTGTGTGTGTGTGTGTGTGTGTGTGTAGGAGAAAAGGCAATTTTTCCAGTAAAAAGGAGGCCTCAGACAGGATGCATGATATCACCCATATTAACACGTCATAGATGAGGGCTGAAAACGCGAATGCTAGGGTGTCGTGGAGAGAAGCGACACTCAAAGATTATGAATCTGATACGATGTGAGGGGTGTTATGGTTGCTCTTTGTCAATGACAGTTCTTTTGAGAGATTCTTAAAAGAAGTTTCAAAGGCTGTTAAGACACTGGAAGGGCACGTAAAAAAGGAGAAAATTAAAATTCAACGCAGAGAAGATAAAGGTTGGGAAAGTAGCAAAAAAACACGAGTCAATGAAAGATTACTGATTAGGTAACGGGTCGAAATTAGGTTACAAGAAGAAGCGAATGTATTTGTATATTTGAGAGCAGACATGTCAGCAGATAGATTTATGAATCAATCATAGAACAAATGAAAAGTGGTGGGAAGTTGAGTGGTGCTGAGGAATTTGTGGAAAGCGACTTATTTATGCAGAAAAAAAGGGAAATGTACCAGAGTACAGTGGTACCAACAATTACATATTGGGCGAGAGGCAAGGGCCATGAACATTGCAGCAGAGAGATGTCATGTCTCATCTCCATGGGGAAGTGGAACAGAATTCTTCCACAAGGCATGCGTGTCGTAAGAGGAGACTAAAATGCCAAGAGCAAGGGGGCTAGTAACCCCTTCTCCTGTATGAATTACTAGATTTAAAAAGAGAAACTCATTTTCCTTTTTGGGCCACCCTGCCTCAGTGGGATATGGCCAGTTTGTTGAAAGCAAGTACAAAATACATATACAGAATTACTAAACAAAATATTACCTTGTCTGGATCTGACCATAAGAGATCACAGAGTAAACCTTGGTCGGGAACATCAGTAGGCCTCATTATGCGACGAATCTGTTCCATACTTTGCAAGTCAGGACTAAGCCCACCATGACAGCAGAAGATCTTTTCATCAACAATGGCTGCCACTGGTAAACAGTTGAAGCAGTCTGTGAAGGTCTTCCATAATTTGATATTGTATCTTCGTTTGCCTGATGAAAAAAGTGAAAGAAATAACAATTCTGAAGGGTAATTAAAATAGCTAATACTAGATCAACTGTTACTCACCTATACACAAAAATATTTTGTTACAAGGCAAGCTGTATATGGTTATAAAAAATATTAGTACAGTTAACTCTTCTAATTGAAACATTCTCATCCAATAGTTTATAACCAGGTATGTCACCCAACCTGGCATACCTAGTTGAGGCATTTTTCCTCAGTCTACTCTAAGCCCAGACTTGTCTGCTTGCAATCCACAGGCCTACACAACCTGGCTGATCCAGTACTTACCTGGAATCTATGTGGTGTGTTCTCGAAGGGTCAATGCCCTTGCAGCCCGGTCCTGGAGCAGGCCTCCAGGTGAACAGCTTTATCAACTATGCTGTTGGTGCTAGCAAAATGAAGGACAACATAAGCACCACAGCTTAGTGGATCAGCCACTGACCTGAGAAACTTGTCCAGTTCTTTCTTGACAGCCAGGGGTTATTTGGCAATTGCTCTTATGTACGAAGGGAAGATGTTGAAGACAGGGTCCCTTCATATTTATAGCCTCCCCCCCCCCCCAGTGTACTTTGCCCTGCTTTTCGTTTTTTTTTTTTTTTTTTTTTTTCAAATTTGCCAAGCCTGTTATTTTCATGGTAAACTATTTATGGAAGCAGAACCGGGACCAATCTACTAGAACTTTCCAGATGATTATAATGCACCTCCTATGTGCCATGGAGAAGATCGAGGTACTTCAAAAATTCCCAGTAATTAAGGTGTCTGACTGAATCTGTGCAATTAGTGAAGGTTCTCAGCACATTCTCCAGGGCTGCCTTGAATGGGGTTGTTAGAATACAGCTGTACTCCAGCCTAGAGATAAGAGACTTGAAGAGTATCACTTCTCGTTTTGAAGGTTTAGTTATCCAGCCTATCATTTTCCTTGCAGTTGTGACAATGACACTTGTGATCCTTGCAGGAACCAGTCATATTATCATTCCTAGGTCTTTTTACTTTACATGTTCTTTCATTCTTTCTGATGTTTGCCACTATTCTGTGTTTTTGCCTTTTTACTCCCTTCATCCTTGTTCTCTCATTCATCCTAGCTGATTACTAAACTTCCACCAGTAATCACATTGTTTTCCATCCTAAAAGTACTCCACTGGTGTAATTTCACTTCAACCCCTATCTGCTTTCCAAGCTTGTGGCTTAGTCTAGTGGTACACAAAACAAAAAAAGTCAATACCATAACTGGAATGATACACAAATAACCCGCACATAGAAGAGAGGAGCTTACGACGACGTTTCGGTCCGACTTGGACCATTTACAAAGTCACACTAATGAGAAGTAGAGCAGGACGTCGTCGTAAGCTCCTCTCTTCTATGTGTATAGTGGTACACAGTTTAAGACTTTCTTACAGCACACCCGTGTCTTTCTTTGCAACACTTGCAGAACTCCCATAAGCAATCTTATATTACTTTCAACAGGATAAGTCTCTAAATTTTACTTATTAATTTTGTTCTCAAAATTAATAGGTACCTCGACCTTCATTCCATCAAAAATCTTATTTGATTACTATTTGAACAATAGCAGGTGCTCTTCTAAGTTTATTTTCCCCAATCAGCTGAATAGTAAACCAGCAACTATTTTGGTAGTGGTCCAATATTTGCTTTTCTAAAACCACAACAAAAAAAAAAAAAAAAAAAAAAAAAAAAAAAAAAAAAAAATTACTATTATGTACAGTACCGTGTTCTGCACTAGGCAACAGCTTCTGCTCGGTTAACTCATTTCTAATGATATATATACAGTAGGTAAAATTAAAAATATTGTAATGTACTCTAATTAATTTTAATAGCTCGTCTCTATTATGCTCAAAAATATTATGGGTATTAGCAATGCATAGGTTTTAAATATTAAATCTTAAAATTCTTGTGGATCAATTTGGCAAACCACCACCTGCCATCTGTATCTACGCTACCCTCTCTACAAAAAACCACAGGCTATTACTTACACTCGTCATAGAAGCCATAGATTCTGTTGATGGAGGCACACTCGTGGTTGCCTCTGAGAAGGAAGAAGTTCTCTGGGTACTTTATTTTGTAGGCCAGTAGCAGACATATAGTCTCTAGTGACTGTTTACCACGATCCACGTAGTCTCCCAAGAAAAGGTAGTTTGACTCTGGCGGAAATCCTCCATACTCAAATAGTCGCAACAAATCGTAATACTGTCCGTGAATGTCACCTGAAAGAAAAGTATACCAGTTCTATAACAAATTATACAAAATTACATTTAAATACAATTGTGTATGTGCTGGGTATGCATTTTTTTTTTTTTTTACTATATACCATTCACATTAAAATCTTTCATTGCTTTTTTAAACAAAGCAGTTTGTTTGTCCTGGGTGGTAGGGAGAATATCCTTTGAATGGCTTTGGTAGCCACTGAATTAGAGCTCTACTCCCAGCCATACTTGACTATGCTCTTGAATAATGCCAAATGCAAAGCTCCACCCATCTCTCTCTACATCGCTCCACATCTCTCACACACACAAAATCAAGCATGTTCAGAAAAGATGCAAGATTTGCAACCAGACTGCCAGCAGAAAGAAAGTGAAGAGAAGTGCACTCGAGAGACCAAAGTAACTGAACCCGATGCCACTGAGCATGAAAAAAGAATCCACACAATTAGAATATGCAAAATAAAAATATTCAGAGGAACTTATGATGTGTGGATAAAGAAAAACTGCAATGTGAGGGTCCAAGTACAAAAACAATTTTGAGGGCCATTGCTCCTGTAGCCCAGTCCCAGATCAGGCATATCTGAGGGGGGCAGCAATAGCCTAGATGATCAAGCTGTCACTAGGAAAGCCTGCCTTAGGCAGAGTAGAGAATTAAAACCTTAAACCAATTAGAGGTAAATAAGAATTACTTAAGTGAGGGTGTACACCAGAGAGCCACCATCACAACCATTATAGCAGCCAGTGGTTTTATCATTATGAAGGAGGGGAAGGGGGGGGGATCCCACAAAGCTGGGGAGAGACCCCAGGTGGGGGTATTGATCTTAAGTGTGGGAGCCGCCCTAGGTCCATTTAACCCCCACCCCACACCTGATATTCTGCAGGACTACCCCTCGTGCATTAGTCGACCCCCATTCACACCAGCAATGACATGGGCATTTTGGAAGTAAACAAATCAAATCTAATCATTGCAGTGCTTGAATAAAAGCCACCAGATAAAGCTTTCAAACAAAGTAAATGGTATGGTAATAAAGACAAGATGTTTCATAAAAAAAATAATAAAAAGGGACATGTGCAGTTGAGGACAATTATCAAAAAGGAACTTGTTGCCCAGAGTAGCTTCATTAGGAGTGAAGTCACTCATGGCAAACTGTTTCCTTCAATAAATGTCCTGAACTGTACCTGTCTTGACACAGCTTTCCAGCAGTTCTAAGACCAACTACTGAAAATCAAATATGGTACTATCTTCAAAAGCTTTCAAACCCAGCTTGAAACATCCTGCTGTTTGGTGATTTCAGTTTAAGAAGAAAGGATACAACTTGGAAAGATACTACAAAAAATAAATACTAGCTGTCTTCAAGGGGAAATTACAAGTTGGCTCTTAATCTGCCAGGCTGTGGTGCCTATGTTGGACTGTGTGACTAGCACCAACAGCCTGTCTGATCAGGCCATTAATTAGGAAGCCTAATGTAGGACTAAGCACCAGCGAGGTGGTGACCTCTGGAATATTCTGGTAACCCTTATTAATTAAACAATGCCTCACTTTATACATTGCAGTAATTTGTTGAAATGGGCACTGAACATAAAATTACTTTAATATTTTTTACAGAAATTATTTAATTTAACTCTGGTTTACCAAGATTAACCTTTAAAATTGCCAAATATTACTACGTACTCATAATTAAGCTATTTTTTTTTTATAAAATAGTCAAGACAATCTTCACCTATGATGACCATTATCTGATGCGTCAGCATATCAATGTCTTTCAATATCCAATAATACTTTCCAAGACGACCTCCGCCAGTTGCCTTTTGTTGACACGAGTCACCAAAACCTCAATCACCTCTGAACTCTATCCCGTATAAAGTGCTTTTGCTGGCAATCTAATTCCTTCATTAAACGAAAGATCTGCAGTGGTAAGGTACAGCTTACCACAGTATTGGTCATACGGAATTAATTACATAATAAACCTATGCCACTGCTTATCGTTCGTATAAAATTACCAAACAAACCCGAGTTGTGAAGAATAACGTTACCCTATCCAGCATTTAACAAGGCTTAATTACTACTAATATATCACAGAAAGACGCTATTTAGATTACATTTTTTTTTTTTTTTTTTTTTACACAATTTAATCTTACGCCCTTCCAAATGTATGGCAAGGAATATGCACACGCGCGCACACCTACATCCATGGATACTACAGAAAAAGTGTGTTAATGAGACATGAACACAGTACTAGACAAAATCAGGGTATTAAGTGGATACAAGGGGGCTAAGGAAGGGTGAAAATGAGCAACAAGAATTATTGAAAAACGTACAAATACTGATCAAGTACTATAGGTCAGGAATCAGTAAAGCTGGTCGACAGTAGTTAAGAGGCGTGCCAGGGGCCATGAATCTACTCCTGTCAATAACTATATGAAGTTAGGCAGGCTAGTTTCGGCCTTCCAAGACAAAAAATACCTAGCAACTTAAAGTGACCTGACAACACCCACAGTTCTAGCAATCTTCCCAAGTAACCCCCCCCCCCCGGCCATCCTTTGGTTAAATTACAGTTAGGTTGGTGGCTGCCAGCGTCCCACACAAACGCCTCCACTCGTACCCCTTACTACCATAATCCTATTCCCATCGTAGATTTAACTTTCCGTTACTTGTTCTTCATACGTATAATAGCCACTAGCATACGTTACTGAAATCACAGAAAATGAACTATGCGGAAACTTTCGCATTTCGAAGCAGTAATTACCAATTTGTTACTCGTGCACTGCTGCAACCCATATAAAATTTAAATTATGTTCACATAGTAAAATATGGAACAAATAAGAACCCTTTAAACTGATTAAAACATATGCGTATACATATGCAGTGTTTTTCCATGTGCGTAACAAATTTCTGGCGATTACTCTTCCATACTTAACGAGGTAGGGGGGGGGATAAGTGTAATAACCGAGTGACTAACACTTACAATGCATGGATCTAGCAAGTAAAAACTGCAATGTTTTAATAATGAATGACAAGAGCTTGACTGTTCCGGTGGGCCTGCTGCAGTGTTCCTTCGTTATGTTCTTATGTACGACCCTCTAAATAATTCCTTTATATGGGATGTGAAGGTTGATGGCTACCATGACGAGCACTGCACATTAGTTTAACCACAAGACAGCGTACCAAGATAAGAGATTCGTGAAGTGGTGGACTGCAAGTTGGCTAACACATCATAAGACAATTGAGTATCAGTTATCAGTGTTGCGTTCAATGGGCATCGCAGCCTACAACCCCAGAGGACGTCAACTTAAAAAATGCCTTATATGCAGCAGAGGCTTGGATGAACAAGACTTGGTAGGTTTTTTCAATCGAATACAAAGGATAACAATTGGGAACATCAGAAAGATGAAGATATGATTATTCCCTTAACATTCTCAAAACTACAGATTCAACAAAGGTAAGTCCCTCAGTTAACCTCAAACCTTCAAGACAGAGATAATAACCATATCTTCTCCATTCCACTGCTTCTGCTGTCTTCAAATTATAGTCATCTATTTGGCCAGTCTACTGAGCAGGTGAAAAGTTTTAGCAATAAGATTACCAACGGCTCTGCACTCTTATTCATTTACGGTAAAGAATAAAAAATGGCACAATACAGTTAATGGAACATGCAAATAACCCGCACATAGGAGACAAACCTGACAATGTTTCGGTCTGATATATATAGACCATTAAGTAGTTAACAATTCAAATAGGATCGAAACGTGTCACAAGCTACTATGTGTGGGTTATTTATAGAACATCCTACAGTACTTTGTCAGTACTGTATAACATTAATATGATGGTACATTCCGGTAACACTGCTTGTGACAGCAGTGGCTTGCTGGAGCAACCTCAGGCGAGGCTGCTAATAGTCAATACCTCTCGTGACCCACCACTACGATACTGTGTAGTAATCTAACAAGCTTGCTACAATTTAAAGCTGATTCATTTCATCTACAACAGCCACGAGTTTAAATAATAATTTACCATGTTTAAAAAAATACACTGAATTAAACACGCTATATTTATTTTTGAGCTGACCAAACGCAATGTTTAAACATTTATTAAAAATTCATTGCTTTATTAATAGACCAATATCCAGGGAGGAACCACCATCTTGTGTTTATGTAAAATATTTTATTTGTTTTACACTTTAGCAAGATTACTGTCTCTCCTTAGTCTCAAACATTTAAGATGACTGATAAATCTTTGCCAGTTTCTGCTTGGTTTATAAAATAGAGTACACACTAGGTCTGTTTATTAAACAACGTTTCGCTCATGGTATCATCTTCACTTCTAGTGATCAAGGTCTCAAGACCGAAAAGTTTTCTAATAAATGTCCAAATGTTTGCTCACGTGTCTTTTTAAGCCACTTTGTAGGCATAAATTATAAAGTTCTATACTAATTTTTACTTGCAATCAGATAATACTGTTTCTTAACAGTTATTATTCCTGTAACATTTGCTTTCCAGTGTAAGAATTATTATAATCATGGGGGAACGCTAAACCCGTAGAGTTTATACAGCGCCTGGGGGGGGGGGGTGGAAGGTATTCTGGGAACTGGAGCACGGATCCAATTCCCTCGATCAAGAGCCCCTCACTAGCGTCAAGGAACCTCTCAGTGTAAGACGCCTGGCCAGAGATTGGGCAGCGACTCTTGATTCCCGGAACCATTTACCATACAAATAAGTCACTAATAACGAACTTCCCAGAGAATGGAAATGAAAATCGGAGGGCATTTAGGCATCCAATCCACTAGTTGAGAACTTAGTGAAAACTATCAAATCCTCATACGTGGAAACAGTATTTCATTTTTTTTTTTTCTAGAAACACCATTAATCTTGAACGTCTCGTCCAACACTCCCGAAGCTCTTCCGTCCTCCACATCTGCACCTCCGGTGTCATTGGAACGACACCTTTAAAATTCGTATGGCTACTGTGCCCAAGGTGGACAGCAAACTTTGGCTACAGATTTCAT